CCAGGCACTTAGTGAAGTAAGTGGCAACTGGCACTACGAGCCGAACGCCAAACACTTGCTAAAAATGAAAAGCCAAGTGGCAAGTGGCATTCAGCCGAGCGTTAGGCACTTAATGAAGTAAGTGGTAACTTGCACTACGAGCCGAACGCCAAACACTTGCTAAAAATGAAAAGCCAAGTGACAAGTGGCATTTAGCTGAGCGCTAAGCACTTAGTGATTTAAGTGACAAGTGGCACTTTATCCTAGCACCAAACATTTGTGATAAATGATAAATGATAACTCAGAAATAACAATGAAAAAAGCACTATGAGACAAGAATTAGTCAAAGTCGTTCATTCCATTAAGTTCGTGATTTATTAAACATTTACAAAGATAGTTCTGGTGGAATGAATAGAGTATACAAAAGAAAATGATGCATTTACAGGTAATTATTCAATCTTGTTTACACCCTTGGTCTCCTGCCTGTGCTCAGAGTTCCCATCACCTTCATTGGTTGTACTCTCCCCTCTGGAAGGAGAGTTAAGTTGGATGATCATTCCATCTGGTTGGGTTCCGCTCTCAGCAACAGGTACAGGAGGAACCATGGTGGAAAGAGGAGGAATGTCCAGGGGTTGGGCAGTTAAGGGGATAGGAATAACTCTTGAGGAAGCAATCTCCAAGCATTCATCAAAAATACGTTCGACAAGAGTGGAGTTCGGGTCAGCATAAACTCCTAGGGGATCGATCTCCAGTTCCTTGTCGATATCATCCGGATTGGCGCCTGAACTGGTCTGACCCTCAGCAGGAAGACGATCACTGTAACCTTCCCTGTACCCCTCAACATACCTAGGGAACCATGGTGGAAAGAGGAGGAATGTCCAGGGGTTGGGCAGTTGAGGGGATAGGAATAATTCCCGAGGAAGCAATCTCCAGGCATTCATCAAAAATACGTTCGGCAATAGTGGAGTTCGGGTCAGCATAAACTCCTGGGGGATCAATCTCCAGTTCCTTGTCGATATCATCTGGATTAGCACCTGAACTAGTCTGACCCTCAACAGGAAGACGATCACTGTAACCCTTCCTGTACCCCTCAACATACCTAGGGCTCCGATCCTAGAGAAGCGACCATGCAGAGCCGTCACTCCGTCATTAACCTTGCTGATGACGCAGAGCAAGGCATTGCGCTCATCCAGAGCCCTCTTCTCAAAGGCTATACGCTCTGCCTGTTCGTCATGAAACAAGCATTGGAGATTGTCTCTTTCAGCCTTAAGTGCTTCACGCTCAATCTGCCAGACGCTCTTCTAGATCTGAAGGGCGTCCTTCTCATCTTGAAGGGAGTCTGCTTCCTTCTTCAGACTGTCCCTTTCATTCTCAGCTTTATTCAGCTGCACCATCAGTTCGGCGTTCTTGGTGCCGATGATATTATTCTCCTTGTTAGCTGCGTCAAGGCTGTTGGCAAACTTTCATGCCTTAGCATTGGCAGCCTCGAAATGCTTTTGCATTGCCATCATGCCAAATAGAGTCTGTAAAACAATACATAAGTACTAATTAAGCCAAACGTATATCCATAGAAATTGTAATATGAAGACATTTCTAAAGTAACCAAAAGAGGGGCAAGGAATTACCTCCATAGCAGCCAGAGGAAAGCGACTGAAGACTTCTTTTTGAGACAAAGCTTTGGTAACTTCAATGTCTTTGGGGGACCACATGTTTTTGTAATAGGCCATGACGGTTGGGCTTTCTCTGAACATGGTCTCGCTCGGCTTAACATCAGATCCATCCGCTCGGACAAATCGGGGGGTCCATAGAGCTTCTTCAGATGGAGAGGCGGTGGCTGTGCCAGACCCAGAGGGAGCAATTGGTCTGATTTGGGGAGGTATAGTCACGCTCGGCTCAGAAGTTTGAATCCTCTTTATTAGAGGAACATCATCAGGACTACTTTCACTGTTAGGCTGAGGCCTTTTTCCTCACTCGTTATCCTGAATGGATACAACGGGGGCAGAGGGATTTCGAACTTTGAGGAGCAGCGTTCGGGTTGACAGGAGGGGCAGTGATGATCGGGTTAACAACTACTACGTTCGGAGTGGTGCTGGAGGTAGTAGTAGAGGAGGATGCCGAAGCTGGAGAAGAAGTGGCTGCAGAAGCAGCAACGGCCCTAGGAGGGTCCTTCTTCCTGCTGAAGAAAGGGATCCGGAGTTAGCTCATTGTAGTGTCGAGGAGTGAAATGTCACTAAGATTCTCGGACGTAAGAAGCTCTGAACAAGAGGGGACATTGTTCAGTACGTGTTCCTTCAGATATGTGACCCTATCCCTACAAATGCCATAACTGAGTTCGTTATTCTATAAGATACCCAGAGAATAGCAAAAAAAAAAAGAACAAAAGCGGGGAGTGCAAATTTCGCAAGGGCAGTCGGTCGTATGATTCTTGAATTTTTTGTAAGAGGAAACAGAGCATTCACCAAAAGCGTTTGGGACGGGATAGTCCTTGGCAGCTTAAACAAACCAAGCCCCCCGAACCTAAACTATGCCCTTCTTCCACCCTTTCTTAGATTTAAGTTTGTATGTACAGATGGATCTTTTATCGATAGGGTAAAAATGGTAATATGACTCTTCCAACCTGATCTTGCTGACCTTGTAACAAAGGAGAAGATCAATTATATCAAGATCTAGGCCTCTGTCACGGTTCAGAAGTAGCAGAACGGATATAACCCTAAGAAAATTGGGGTTAACTTGGAGAGAGGAAAGATTCAACCTATTGAACACATAACAGAAGAAAGGATGTAGAGGGAATCTAATGATGTTTAGGTGGTGAAGGGAAAACAAGGTTTCGCTGGGAAGAAGGCCGGCACTAGTTTTAATGTTTACATTTTTGGGGCATTCCCTAAGATGAATATTGTTACGGAGTCGGACTTTTATGCGAAGAACATCCAGATCAATGGGCATGATGAGAACGAATATGATCCCTGGGGAAGTATGCAAAGATTTTAAGAAGAAAAAGGCAGCAAGACTAACCTCAAAGGATTAAAGGCCGCAAAGAACGTTGCGAGATCGCTGAAAATGGAGAATCTCTTGCAGGAGTTCACAGGGAAAAATTTGACTTGCTTGGAAAAGATGAACAATGACTTAATTGACAGCGAGATGTGATAGAGATGGTAAAGAAGACTGATGGTACATCGTGAGGGCTTACAAAGGGAAAGTGGACCCGAAAGCCGAGACGCCAGGAAACTGAAGAGTTTTCAAATTTCAAAATATTGAATCCTGAACCAACCGCTCGCTCCCCCATATAATCGTCTTGAGCTGCTTATTGGATTCCATTAATAATCACACCCTAATTAATGAGAAGTGATTATGGGGGCAGTTGGGGATACCAAAAATGGCTCAGGCCGGGTACAGCCCACATGATGAGCAATAAGCCCGATAATTGACCTGGATCTGAACCAGGCTCTCAACAAGATAGGCCCGAAACTAAAGAAGCAGCCGAGGATCCACTAAACATAGTCAGGCTCGTAGCTCGAGAAGCCCAGGAGGAGGCCCAACACAGGGAGTTAGGTGGGAAGCTTCTAGAAGGCATGTAACAGTTTATAAAAAAGGTAGAAAATAGAGAGAAAAGGGGATCAAAAAATCTTTGAAGTGCATAGTTACTCTGTCAAAATAAAGAGAGGAATTTCTTGCATCTTCAGTTATAGATCGGAAAAAAAAAAAAAAAGAAAACAAAAAAGAGTTGAGTCTAAACGAAATACAATGCTTCAACTAAATTAGTTTGATACATCTAATTGTAAATTGTATGCGTAGAGACACTAATCCTAATTTTTCACCTAACACTCTGCTCTTAAATATTCAGATATATATATATATATATATATATATATATATATATATATATATATATATATAACTCTAAATCATTATTAATTATGAAAGAAAAAAATATAATAAAATTTTAATTTTGTATGCACATATAAACTATATATATAATTAAAATAGTATTACATTATTATATAAACAATTTATATTAGAAGGGAACTGACCTACTAATGAAGTTTGTGGAAAAAGTGGCATGGGCATAATAGGAAATTAAGATGTAAAGGCACCACTTTGACGGGAAAGTAAAATTTCCCTGTGTTTTTGCGAGAAACAATGTTAAGGAAAATTAAGCGATTGCGAGAAATTTACTTCTTAAAAATTTTCTCTTTCACGCTAACCAAACTCCTAACAAATTTAAAAATTTTCTGTTTCTTTTCCTTTCTATTTACTTCATGCTAACCAAATGAACCCTAAGAGTTTTTTTGCCCCAAAAAAAAAAAAACTAGTAGTCTTATAAATATATGTGTATATATATAGAGAGAGTAATATTAAGTGAGAGCTTTTAGAGAGAGAAAATATAAGAGAGAGAAAGTGAAATAGCTTTCATTATACTTGTTCAAGCCTGCAACAAAGTAATAGATACATGGCCTTTTATAGGCTAAAAAATGAGGCTTCCATAATAAGCTACATGATGTAAGCTTCCTCCCCACGCCAACCATGGATGTCCTCATTGATGACATCATCAATAGTGGACCCCATATACAACACTTTCCCTTGGGGTTCACTGTATTACACTAAGAATATGCCTCATTAAAACCCAGTGGGACAAACCCTAGCGAAGGAAAAAGAGTACAATATCCTTGTGTATCTAAAAATGGTATTGTATAGGTTAAAATTGCCTCATTAAAACCTTGCCAGGAAAACCCAGTCGGATAAAACCTGGATGAAGGAAAAAAAGTACAGTATACCAATACCTCTTCGATCAATTGCTCCCCCTCATTGTTGCATTCGTGCAACCCTGAAGATCCTTTAGTTGACGCAATCCAATGTTGTGCACCAGCTTCTTGAATGTTGTAGTTAGAAGCGTTTTAGTGAATAGATCTGCTAAATTTTCACATGAACGTATCTTCTAAGTATTAATATCACCCTTTTTTCTGGCGTTCATGTGCATAAAAGAATTTTGGTTAGATATGTTTGGTCTCGTCACTTTTAATATATCATTCTTTCATCTGTGCAATGCATGCCGCATTATCTTCATATAATACTGTTGGGCTATCTTTTATTGATGAGAGACCACATGTTGTTCGAATATGTTGGATCATTGATCTAAACCAAATGCATTCGCTGTTTGCCTCATGAATTGCGAGTATCTCAAAATGATTTGAAAAAGTTGCAATCATTGTTTGTTTTATACATCGCCATGATATAGCCGTGCCGCCATAGGTAAACACACATCTTGTTTGTGAATAAGCTTTATGTGGGTCAAAGAGATAGCAGGCATCTGCATATCCAATGAATTGAGAATTTGGTGCTTTTGAATAAAACAATCCCATATCAATTATACCACGAAGATATCGCAATATGTGTTTGATTCCATTCCAACGTCTACGTGTTGGTGCAGAACTGTACCTTGCTAATAAATTAACTGAAAAAATTATGTCAGGTCTTGTGCAATTTGCAAGATACAAAAAAGCACCAATCGCACTGAGATAGGGCACTTCAGGACCAAGGAGTTCTTCATCATCCTCTCGAGGACGAAAATGATCTTTCTTGATGTCAAGTGATTGGATAACCATTGGAGAGCTCAATGGATGGGCTTTATCCATATAAAAACGTTTCAGAATTTTTTCTGTTTATGTTGATTGGCGGATGAGAATACCGCTCGAAAAATGTTCAACTTGCAGCCCAAGGTAGAATTTTATCTTTCTGAGATCTTTCATTTCGAATTATTTCTTTAAATAAGTGGCCGTCTTTTCGATCTCGTTCAATGATCCCACAAGATTCAGATCATCAACATATACTGCAACAATAACAAAACCAGATTCTGATTTGTTAATAAAAATGCATGGACAAATATGATTGTTCACATACCCTTCTTTGAGTAAGTAATCGCTAAGGCGATTGTACCGCATTCGTCCAGATTGCTTCAATTCATATAAGGATCGTTGTAATTTTATCGAGTACATACCACGTAGTTTTGTTTTAGGCATTTTAAATCTTTCTGGGATTTTCATATAAATATCACTATCTAGTGATCCATATAAATATGTTGTAACCACGTCCATTAGATGCATATGCAACCTTTCTGTGACTACCAAATGTATTATGAATCTAAATGTCGGTGCATCGATCACAAGGGAGTATGTTTCCTCATAATCAATACCAGGTCTTTGTGAGAAACCTTGAGCTACCAGTCGGGATTTGTATCTCATGATTTTATTTTTCTCATTACGCTTTCGTATAAATACCGATTTATACCTAACAGGATTAACACCCACAGGTGTCTGTGTAATGACCCGGTCATTTCCTTCCTTTCCTTTTTCCTCAGAATTTTACAGATGAATTTTTTTCGTTGAAATTTCTTTTCTAAGTTCAGTTTCTCGTCGCTTAGTGTCGTCTCGAGTGCTCGGAAATGGTTTCTGAGACTCTTTTCTTTGTATTGATAACTTCCTTTGAGGACCGAGTTATTTTCACATTTTTCGTTTTTCGACACTATTCACTTTTCGGCCTTTTCCCCATTTCGTCCTTTTCCCTATTTTGTCTTTTTTCCATTTGTCACTTTGTTGGCGTAACCTCATTCTTTGTGTTCGGAGTTGGTTTTTGACTTCACGTATCTTCATTCTAAGTGGTTTCCACGAAATACGTATCTTTACTTTTGCAAGAAAGTACTGTAATTGCTCCCAGTGTCCATAGGGGCATGGATGCAAAGTTCTTTGGAATTATTTTCTTTTCTTGGGGTGTTTTTCGTAAATATCTTTTGAAGAGATTTTATTTCAGGAGTTTTTAAGAAAATATTTTTGGAAGATATTTTCATTCTGGGTCATTAGTGCAGTTTTCACTTTTTGGAGGGGCCATTGTGCAATTAATGAAAGTTATTGTAAAAATGTCTCGTTTTGAGCTTGGATCCTCGTATGGGATTCATTTACACTTTTTGTCAAGTCGTGTACTCATAGAATTCCATTATGGTCGTTTTTCTCTAGTTTTAGAGTTTCTGACCCCAATTGCCGCCGAACTTGTTCGGGGCATAACTTTCTGCTCGGGACTCAGTTTCCGATGCTGTTTCTTTTGTTGTTCATATTTTCTCAATTTAAATCTTTTTTGTTCATAGAGTTTTGCCGTTTGAGCTCGTCTGCTCAAATTTCACTTTTTCGGACCCGGTGGGACCCGTTCGAGGCACTTTTTGAGATTTTCTATAAATAGGGGGACTTAAAGTCAAAAAGTAGTCTTCTCCCCTCTCCATGCACGACCTAGATCTTCCATTGCAGTCCAAGGGGGGCTGCCACCCTTCTTCTTTCATTTGAACCTTCTTCCCTTTGTTAAAAAGTCGAAGTGCCTTCGCGTTTTGTGTTTGTCTTGACCACGCGCATCTTTCTCCCTTATTAGAACCCGCTTTTGGCTAATTTTTGAGTTCGGGTTTGAAGTCAAGTTGTGATTTTGATGGGGTTTCTTGTGGATTCATGTAGATCGTGTTGTCCCCGACAAAACCTTGAAGTTTTGTCGGATTCGAAGCGGTTTCATTTCGGTGGGGATTTGTGATTTCATCACAAAATGAGGTAGGGGATGTCTTAGGTTTATATTATTGTTGTATTGATTGTTTTATAAGCATATACAACTTGTGAGCATGCTTTGTTCAACTTTTTAGAATTTAATTTATTTATTTTCTTTGTCTAGGATTTAATTCTAATGATGGTATATAGTTTAGAATTAAATTGTGGTATGCTAGTAAATTAGGCCTTGGTGAGTTGTGTAACATATATTAAATTTGGAGCATTTGAATAAGAATTGCAAAATTTATTTAATATTTATCTTTTGTGAAAGATTAATTCACATAGTTGTATCAAGTATGAAACCAACTTGTAATGTGATATTAAAGTAGGCCTTGGTGAGTTCTTTAACATATATTAAATTGAGGACATTTGGATATGTTTAAAAATCTAGAGAAAAATTAATTAATGAGCTTAATTAATTTTATTTTAAGTGTGTTGGTCACTTAAATTGATATTGGAGGTAATAGGTTGATAATCCCTTAAAATGTAGTCCGTTTGATCACCTTGTGAGCATGTTACTAATTTGATGTAGAATTAGTACTTGAGACATCTTGAAATGGTAATTGGACTTAGCATGATATATAATATCATTGACTTGCATAGCTTGTTTAGATATATCTTGTGTAAGTGTATAGCTTGTTAGAATATTATAATTGTTTACCTTGGAAGCTAGTTACTAAATTGGGACTTATTTAGTACTTGTGGCTTAGTGTGGTAATGTGGTTCAATTGTTGTAAAATATTCTTGTTTTGGTGTATAAATTGCATATTGGAGGCTTGACATGTCATATGCTATCTAGACTTGAATTATAGGACATGGTTTGTGTGGATTCAACCTTAGTTGTGCATGGAAGATGGTTTTATGTATTAGTGGATTTGGTATAAGTTTGTTCTAACTTATTAATTTTTGTATAAGTTTTGGTCTTATTGATTTTGGAAAGCTCGTAAGGACATATTTCACGTAATGGTTAGGGTTTGGCTCTAGTACGGAGACAAGAGTCTTCTAAGTCATAAGTGCGCATTAGGTAGTACCTTGTGGGTCGTAATTGCCCGGAATAACTTATGCATGTGCGCACTAGGTAGTGCCTTATGGGTTGTAATTACCCGGAAACACTTGCTTGGTCTAGTGACCACATGTCCTAGGCTTTCCACTTTAATTTCGCATTCAATTTCAAGCTGTTAATTATGGATTACTTGTAACTTGAGAATTGGTGCTTGCCTATATATTTTGATCTCATTTAGTATACTTAAAACTGTATACTTGAACTTATATCCTTGTTGGTGTATCTAAACTCTATTTAGTGTATTTACGCTTAGTATGCTTATCTTGTGTGTGCGGATTTCATTTTTGTATACTTGTGCCATGTATACTTGTCTTGTGCATATGTGTTTAACTTAGTATACTTGATTTATGAGTACACTATACATATATCTTATACTTGTGTATGTATGCTAGATATTGCTTATCTCGTTTAACATGATTTAATATATTTGTGAGCATGTGTATTTGAATGTCGTGTATCATGTTTTAATACGGTTTAGTGTACTTGAGCATGTATACTTGTATGCTGTAGTTCATTTCAATTGCATGAGTAGCTTAAGATGATCCCTGAGTCTCACTTTGACATAGATGTTAGGTGGCATGAGCCCCTTTAATATGTTTCACCTTAAGGTGATAGAATTATAAAATGCTAGGTCGATGCATGCTCATTTCCTACGAGTAGCTTTATGTTACTCACTAATGTAGTGGGGACATTTTTCAGGTACCAGGATTAAGATTCGGGATTCACATCATGCTTGGATGATTTGTAGACTTGAAGTTCTCATTTCTTGTAAATGTTGGCTTGAAATGCCATTAATAGCTTTATATGTCAAAATGTGTAAATTTGATTCTATTTTTGTAATGTATACATAAGTACACTCTTTACAATGTATTTGACATGTATGAGATGAGGCCATAGGCCATTGACATATAATTTGTATCCTATGTAACTTTTAACTTCATGAAATATTATGAAAATATTGAAAAATGCCGAGTCATTGCTTCACTATGCTTGCATCGGGTGTGGGAATTCCATTTTTATTCTTTCATAGGGTCTTATAAATCATGTTTGAAGTGTGGCCAAGGGCCAAACGGTAATTTGAAATCATTTGTTAATTTTGGTTGTCAAATTTCCCTTTTCTTGTTCATTTTTGCCTTTTTGCCCGTTGGGGGGTCGGATTTTGTATCAGTGGTATTTTTAAGCCATGGACCATTGTAGTACGTCCTAATAGGTAAGTTACGTTTGCGTGCATGATTGTTTCCAGGCAAACCTTCTTCTTTGGTGAAATGAGCCTCCTATGGACTCATTTTGAAACTTTGTTGCATAATCTGATCTAGGGGATTTCTAGACTTTTCACATCAGTTTTATTTTCTTCTTTCAACATGGTCACTTAGAAAATGTGATTTTAGGGGGGGTTTTTTCTTCGTGTTTTTCCAGAAAATGTCGTCTTGACACCGGAAATCCATTGCAAAGTTCAGCTTCCAGTTTTACATTTAACAACTTTATGACCCTCATGACAAAATTTCATAGAGGGGAATTTTGGGCATTCTACATTGAGTTTTTTTTGAATTATCTCACGAGTCACGTAGAAAGCTCGATTTTGGGTGGGGTTTCTTTTTTGTGTTTTTCCAGAAAAATTCATTTGATAGCCCGTTTTTGCTCTCAGTTGTGGACTGATCTTGAAGAAATTTCATGTAGCAGTTTTTTGGGTCCCTCTTGACCTAGGCTGATCTAGGGGCATTTTAGGGATCTTACAGCGTGTTTTTCTCCGTTCCTTTCATGATACCGGGTAGAAAACATGATTTTAAGGGGGGTTTCTTCTTCGTGTTTTTCCATAAAAACTCGGTTAAGGGTCCGTTTTTAGCCTCAGTTCCGAGAAAAAAAAATCAAATGTTGCTTACTGTAAAAACACTATTCCTGCCCAGATTTCTTACCCGGAAAATAAGTTGATTTTTTTGAAACTTTGAGACTTCATATCTTTATCATCCGGACTCCATATCAAGTGATTTTTGAGTAT